AGAAATACTGAAGACAGAACCCAGAGCCTTCCTATTCAGCTTCAGATCTTTTTTTGCTGTTTTTGTTTTTGTTTTGCTTAGTTTTAAAGCAAGGCCTTGATCCAGGTGTGGTGGTGCAAGCCTATAATCTCAACACTCAGGAGGCAGAGGCAGCAAGATCCTCACAAGTTTGAGGCCAGTTTGGGCTACATAGTGAGTTCAAGGCCAGCCTGAACTACAGAGTGAGACTCAGTCTCAAAACAAGTAGCGGAGTCACTAATTTGCTTAGAAACAGAAGATAAAGGGCAGCTTTTATTTGTTCATCTTACTCACCTCTTTCAAATCTAGTTTTCTTGAATGAGTCTTTTTTTTTTTCTGAAATGAGTCTTGATCACCTATTCATACTAATAAAAGCAGTACTATGTTGATTAGTGCTTATAAGAAATATGTGTTCCCTCAACAATTGTAGTAATCTGTCTCCAAAGCCGCTAAATGGAAAATATGCCTGTGGGATACTGCAGATTAAGTAGTATGCTGACAGGTTTCCCTTTAGAAGAAAAAAAGCAGAAAACAAGCCTGCCAAAATAAGGCAGGCTATGTTCTCATGGATGGTCCTTAAGGCACATCAATCCTTGATGGCACATAATACTTTCTTTTTCTCATCTTGTTGCACATCTTAGGTGAATCTAAGTGGGTCCGTCATCTAAGCCTCTGCCATTGCATGCTTTCTCCAGTGCCGGTCAGAGTTCATGATGCATGCCCAGGCCGCCACAATACCAACTCCCAACCTTTCTGGCAAAGTCATCACAGCTTCATCCTGGGAATTAATGCCACCGCTGAGCTCTTCATATGAAGCGGGGCAGAGAAGAAGTAGGAAAGGCAACAGTTTGGGGCAGATCTTTACTTATTTGCCCTGATATTCAATCCTCCTCCAAACCTGCTCCCTCTTCCTATACTATACTAGAGTTTCAGAAAGAGCCCTACTAAAAAATTCTCTAATTTCCATAATGCAGCAGGAGCACCTATTTTGGGCTACATTTTATTTGGTGCTGATTTCTCAATAAATATAATTCTATTTGCTTTTGAGCACCCTAAAATTCTTCAAAAGTCCAGGTATTTTAACAATACAATTAATGATAGCAGCTAACATTAGTTCAACATTTGCTAAATGTAAAGACTCTCCTAAGTGCCGTGTGCATGCTGTCTCTCTGGATCATAATAGTAACTCTATGACAGTGATGACAAACCTTTCAGAGAATACCCAAACTGAAACCCAAAACCTACTTACTTTTCACAAACATTGCAATTAAACCTGAATACCAAGGATTTAGTTAAGAAAAAAACAACTCAAACATTAACATTTTTGTATTAAATTAAAAACAAACAACCCACCATGTGTTTGCCACTGCTCTACAGATGGGTACTATTACCACCATCCTAATTTTACAGATAAGGAAAGGGAGGGGAAAAAAAGAACAAGCAACTTGCCCAAGGTCACATAATTGTAACAGGCAGAGCTTGTATTCAGACACAGGTAATCTAGCTCCAAAGCCTCCCCTTTCTGTTTTTAAAATATAATTATGACTTATTTATTGTCTTATATCTATTCTATCATTTTCAATGACACCTGAGAAGCAGAGAAAAGTAAATGGAAACACTTTTCACTGCACCAGAATTGTTTTCACTACACCACATTTTTAATTGATCAAAAGGCCGCTTGATTTTAGTATATGTGCTGCTGAAGCGAGCCACTTGAAAAGATACAGAACCTACAAAGGAATCTACTGACAGAGAAAAGGCTCTATGAAACTGTCTTCAATCACCAACAGAGGTAATATAGAGGATTCCCAAAATGAGAGGCTTAGAAGTAGCTATTTCAAAAGTATAGATGTTAAAAAAAAAAAACTAAAGAAAAATTAAACAATAGCACAACAAGTGAACAAGTCATTAATTCATTATCATTACCACCAAAGAGAAGCTAAGAACATCTAAAATTTTAGACCCATTCTATTTCCTGACACTGACTTTCTTAATAACTCAGTTTAACTCAAACACCTATTATATACTTACTATAAGCACTGCACTACAAACTGAAGATAAAGATATGAGGCACTTTCCCCCGTCCCTGCCTTTACAGAGCTTACAGTGTGACAGCAGGTACAGAAAATAAAGAACACCTGTACTCTTGTGCTGTAAGTGCTGGTACCGGTAAGTACACAGAGGGTACCATTAGCACACGGGACAGGCCTTTCAAGGAAGCATCCCAGGAATCAAAGAGGAAACATGCCAGCCAAAGAGGTTTTCCTGAAATAACTTTTAGACTAAGCATTAAAAGATAAACTATCAATGATTTGCAGAGCTCAAACTAAATGTACCATCTATTTCCTACAACCTGCTCCTCTGTCCACCTACACAACACCCGGTGAAGAGCACTGTGGTCTATACAGAAAGCCAGAAGCCTTTTCTGACCCCTTCCTCCTCTTCAGTTAGTCATCAAGTCCCATCTGATTGAATGTCCTCATACTTCAAAGTAATTCCCTGCTCTCCATTCCTACAACTACCTTAATTGCAAGCTCTCATTTCTCACCTTGCTAGCTACAATAATCTTGTCCATGTTCTTTCAATTAAATCTCTTTACAGGCTAAAAAACCAAAAGTGGGTCTTGAAAACTCCCCTCAAGAGATGTGCGCTGCATTTGGCCCTCAGTGGCTTCCAGCCACCTCTGTCCCATAGTGCTGAACTTCATCGGGTCTTTGGAAACACCACACTCAGTTTAGCCTACCTGACTTTATTCAAGCTACTTGGTCCTCCCCCTGGCTTGAGAGATTCCAGTCCTCCCTTGACACACTCCGCGGCCTTAAGCATGTCACTTCTGAAAAGTCTTCCTGAAGGCCACTTCTCTTTCATCCTTATTCCTGCAGGCTGAGTCAGGAACCTGTTCTGTGTGTCACATTAACTCATCAGGGCACTTATCATAAAGAATTATGCTCACTTTGTTCTGTAATTGTCTGTTTACCTGATGCCCTGTAATCCACGTCATCAAGCTAGCATCATACCTGATATTTAGGAAGCAGTCAAGAAATGCTAAAAGAATGATAAAAAACGAACAAAGATAGTTAAACCTGAGAAAGCTGATGAGACAACTAAAGGAAGTCATGGAGAGGACAGAAGAATGCCAGATAAGTACCCATCTTTAGTGGGTGTGAAGAAGCTAATGAAGCAAACAGAATGAACAACCAAAGAGGTAGAAGAAAACACCTGCAGTCCTATAGTAATGCTACCCAAAAGAGAAAAATTTAAGAAGATGTAGGTGATCAACAGCATCAAGCACTACAAATAGGTCAAAGAAGGTGAGACCTATCACAAGGACATCCTCAGGACTTGGTGTTGACATTGCTAATCCTGCATGTGTTCGTTCCCCCTTACTCTTTGCAGAACTGCCTAAAGCCAATTTTCTCATCCACTGTCTGAATTTGGGGCTTACAAATAACCAGGGATATGAAACTTACCTGTGTAGTCTCTTTTTTTCCAGGATTAAAACATTGAAAAGCAGAGAATATACAAAAGAAAATAAAATCCCATCATCCAGATATAATGTTATTTCTCTACTTCCTGTGTTCTTATATTTATATTTTAACGTTACAATGCTGAATTCTGTATCCTAAAGTACTTCTTTACTATGCTTATATTTAGTAAGCAGAACTATAATTAAAATAAATAACATTAATATTATAAAATTATAAAACTTAATTTATGCTTTATGTAGCCAAAGTTAATTTCTCTTTATGAATCAATAAATTAGCATTTTAACTTATAACCAGAAGAAAATGTTACAGAATTAGATATACCTACTTACTGCTTAATTTCTATCAATAACATTATTTATGCTAAAAGATGGCAAACAACCCTAAATATCTTATCTTGATTAATTTAGGCCTGGTTCTATTATTTTGAGGCTCTAAAGCTTGGTTATTAAAAATAGGTTAGACACTAAATATAGAAACATCTATAGCAGCTGCAGGACTTTTTCCTAGTTTTGTTTTATTTCAGTTAAAATTAGACACTCTGGCTTACAAGTAACTTAATAAAGTCAAAGTTACAACATTAAACAAGCTGTTTAATGGTTTAGTATATCTAGAAAAATGGTGGAAACCACAGTTTTCAATTCTCTTCTGAGGTTTTCCTTTTTTCATTGTGGAGTATGTTTTGGTAAAAGATAAAAAGTAGGAAGAATGTGATATTTCTAAAAGTAAAAACTGCTAGGTCAAAAGGGTATAAACAGCTTAGTGATTTGATATGTTTTACCAAATTAGATAAAGAAAGGGTACACAGAATTCACACTTTTTTCATATTTAAGTTTTATTTTTCAATACCCTTGCCATCACTAAGTATTATTTTTAGTCTGTGTTATCCTAATAAGTGAAAATACCTTAGTGTTTTTATTGTTGAATTTATAACAATAGTGAAAATAAATGTTTGCTTATATTTACTGGCATTTCTTTTCTTAAATTGATTGTTCATATCCTTTTACTTATTTTTCCTAGCAGCCATTTGCTTTAAACCTATTGATTTAGAAAAGCTTTTTGTAAATTCATGGTATTAACCATTTATACAAATACTTCCTTCTTTTTATTTATGGTATTTGACACAAGACATTTTTAAATTTTATATTATCACATAACTTTTTAAAAATAATATGTAAGAAAATTTCTTCACTCATATTTTATTTTTTTCCTCATTCATATTTTATAAATTATTCTCTCAAAGTTCTTTCTAAAGTCAGTACAGTGGAATACCACTGAAATCAGTGAGATAATTTATTTTTACCAACTAATATACATTAAAAGATTCTAACTTCCTAATACTTTAAATTACAATTCCAACAATGGTCAATGTGAAACTAAGTTCTACACTTTTCTTAAACCAATTTTAGCTATGAAGACAAGAAATTCATTTAGAAATTCATTCAAAGTTCTCTTTAACCCATACGAAGCATAGATCTCTTGCTAGTTATCACCCACCTCTCAAAAACCTGTTAGGGATCCTTATGATGGGACAGGACTGAATGAAGCGCCTCCTAACTGGGTCCCATCGTATTTTCTTCTTACCTGTTACCACAATTATCAGCAATAAGTCAGACACATATAGCACATGGCAAATAATACACAGTTATTGTAGTTATAAAGACAGAAAAACAGGAAACAAAACAATACTTGAATACAGAATACTTGCATACAGAAAGAAAGTAGCATTTAACTGTTTTGGAGGTTAAACTTAATACATAAGTAGTGATGAAGGTGTTCAACTCTTATCTCCAAAGAATACAATTATGTACACCTTTTTTCATGGTTGTGGTTCAAAGTCTGTGCATTCCATTATAACCAATGCCAGCATGTGGCAAACAGGCTCCAGGAACTTTAAGAACATAAGAAACAATGTTTCCACATCAGTGAATGTCAAAAAGGAGCTCTACCCAAAACTAATTGAGTATAACATAGCTCTTCATCTCTTATTAGTTATAAAGCAATGGGCACCAGTCTTAGAATATGAAATAAGCTGATTTTGTTATAATTAAAATTATATGACAGTAACCAGATAAAACAAACATTTACTTACTATCTTGGCACTTCCATGGGGTGGAGAGGAGAGTTCATCTGCCTTCCCAGGAAGCAAATTAACTCCACATGAACTCAAATTAAAACTTATTTTCTTATAAAACAGAAGAAAAGTGCTATATATTCATGGAACAACTAAATGGAGTGACTTTTCTCTTTCAAAGCATTGACAACTCCCAAAGATAGCTCTTATTGACAATAAAAACTTGTTTTACAGCAATAAAAGTTTACTAAGAGCTTCCACATATATTATCTCATATAATTCTAAGAACAATCCTGTATTGATTCAAGTCATTTTATTAAGTATCTGCTATGCATGAGGCCCTATGCTAGGACCTAAGGTTGCAAAAGTAGTATACAGCTCCTATCCTTAGGAGCTCATCTTCTGATAAAGGCAGATGCATAAACAATTACATTATAGTGATGCAACTGCTGTAAGAAGGGCTGTAAAACCACCCTGAAGAAAATATAATCATCATCATTTTATAAGTGAGGAACTAAAGTAAAATCAAGTGACTGAATGCCAGAGCCAGGATTCAAGCCCAGGCATTCTGAGTCTAAACACCCTCACTCAAATTCTCTACAAAGAGAACAGTTTTTAATGGTGGCCTTTGGAAATACACTCAGATGTTCACCAATAAGGTGTAGGTTCTTACTATAGAATTTGTACATGGAAATACACAAATTCTGTGTAACAAAATGACATACCTACACATATGCAGTTATAACATGGGAAATACAAACTTGTAAGAAGGAAAATTATTAAACTTGTTTTAATTCTCTAAACCCTTTAAATCAGTGGATCCCAAATGTGGGTCTGCAGTTCACTACTGAGCTAAGGTGAAGATTCTCAGACCAACACAAAATAAGAAAAAGAGTAGTGAGTTTTTCAAAAACCTAAAATTTTCTCTTCAAAGGGCTACCCTTTCTTCACAGATTAGAAATTCTTTATTGTTAAGTATTCTTCATTTTGATATGATGATGACAGAAAATGATAATTGTTTTTTTTTTTTTTTTTGTCTTTTTCATTTTTTATCGGTACCAGGGATCGAACTCACGACTGCCTGCTTGCAAGGCAGGCGCTTATGCCGCTGAGCTAAATCCCCAGCCCCGATAATTGTTTTTTTAAAACATCTTTTCTTGGGGCTGGGGATTTAGCTCAGTGGCATAAGCGCCTGCCTTGCAAGCAAGCAGTCATGAGTTCGATCCCTGGTACCGATAAAAATTTAAAAAAAATCTTTTCTTGGAAAAATAGAAAATTTGCAACCTTATATCTATATATATAATTTTTTTCTTTTTTGATGTCAGGTTTATGACATCCAAAACTCTGGAGAACCATTGCTTTGAACCAATATATGTGTTGAGGTCTACTGAGTCCAGCACGGAAAGCTATTTTGTCAAAGGGTACATAAGATGTATAATAACTTCCCTGGCCCCCAAGAATCTTATATTCTAATTAGAGAGACAAGACAGACACATAAAACAATTACATAGCAATATAAGACACAATATAACACGTGATTAGCTTAAAATTTGACGTTTTGATGTATCAAAAGTGTTAAAAAGTACATACCCTTTGACCCAGCTATTCCACTTCTAGGAATCTATTCCTAAAGAAACAATCATAGATGCATGGAAAAATGTATGGACAAAGATATTAACTATGATATTATTTATAATGGTAAAAATTTAGAGACACTTTCAATATCCAACGATAGAGAGATCCTTAAGTATGTTAAATAAACATACTTAAATGTGTTCATATTCAACGTACTACTTAAAAAGTGTATCAAGACTGTTAACATGACAAAACATTCACATATATTGCAAATGAACAAGTTACAAAACAGTATTAGAGTATGATATCATTTTAGTAAATAAAAAGTATACAATCATGAATAATACAGGAACAATATACATTAAATTTTAATTCTGGTATCTTTGGGTGTTTTGTTTGTTTGTTTGTTTTTTCCCATTATGATCTTTATTAATTCCAAGCTTCTCACTGAGTAGACATTAATTTTGGACTAGAAGAAAAATAATACCTATTACTTTAATTTATTTAAAGTATGATTTTTAAGAAGTACTGGAAAAAAAACATGCCAAAATGTTAACAGTAATTAAGATTTGGGTTGTAGTAATTAGCCCTTTCATGCCATTTAGTAGGCCAAGTGAAACTCAAAACTACTTTAGAGTAACATTAGGAGTAACACTGAAACTACTGAACCAAAGCTGTAATCAAAGATTTTTTTGTGGGCTGGAGGTTGCCCAGTATGCACAAGGCCCAGGTTTGATTTCCAACATCACATGAAAAAAAATCTTTATACACACACACACACACACACACATATTTTCAGAGCTTTCATCAAACATCTCTGACATGTATCTCAACAACCAACAGGACTCTGTCACAGCACAGACTAATGCTAACTCTGTGGAGGTTACTTAGACAGCACAGCAGTATAACACTAACACATATTTATTTTTTTATTTTTAGTTTTACTTATTTATTTTTAGTTTTAAAGAAACATATGGCTCTTCAATTTCATATAAGTATATTCCTCCTCTGAACTTTTTTCATTAAAGTTTTCATTTTTAAACACTCAAACTGCCCATCTTCATTAGTGATTCCTTAAAAAGCAACCTTAAAAAAATGAAAAACATAATTTCTTCAATGATTTCATCAAATTTTTGCTGACTTAAAGAAAAAAAAAATTTTAAGCTGGGTGTGGTGGTGCACACCTGTAATCTCAGCACTCAGGAAGATGAGACAGGAAGATCACTTCAAGTTCCAGGCCAGCCTGGGCTACAAAGTTGAGTTCAAGCCCAGCCCAAACTGCTTACTGAAATCCTGTCTCAAAGAGACCCAAAAAAAAAAAATTCTCTTTACTAAGCTTACTTTACTATAAACATAAACTACATAGTCAATCACTGAATGAAGATGGCAGCTGAGCACAGTACAAGCAAACTCACCCTTCCCCAGTCTTGGAAGCCATCTGGGAAAAAAAATCCATAATTGAAAGAAAGAAATGTGCTTAGAGGACTAGAACTATAAGGAATCACTAAAAGACAAAAAGCTGATGAAATCAGACTAAAGTAAAAAAGCACAGTCCTATACATCCAATTAGAGGGTGGGGGAAAGCCCTCAAGGTAAAGTAAGTGTAGACTTGGAAGTCAGCAGGAAAAACGTTTAAACAAAATTTACAGTATGACTGAGGGGGGCTAGCACAGAAATCAGACAAGGATATATTCTCCAGGTCAGAAGAAAGAACATGAACACTTGAATGAGAGACAAAACAGATCACTGTGTGGATGTCAACACTCAGGCCAAATGAATGACAACCACCCTAAGGGGGCTGGCACCTGGCACAGCTCATCACACTTCCACTGTCTTATCTCCACCCACAATCAGTGAGGACCTGCTACAATAAAACAGACACAGCACTCACAGCAACACTAGCAAGCCCTCTCAAATAAGGGTGAATAAGCATAAAACCAAGACTCAAATATGAAACATGAATGTTAAGTACCAGAGAAAATTAAGCACTCTCTATCAAAATTTCAAATGCTATTTTCTTCTTTGCATAAATGAACAAACTAACCCTAAACTTCATATGGAAATGCAAGGAACTCAGAATTCTACAACAATCTTTGAAAAAGTAAAAAGAAAGACACATTTCTTGATTTTAAAACTTAATACAAAGATAGATACAGTATTCAAAACTCTGGGGCACTGACATAAGGACAGACACACAAATCCACGGAGTAGAAGTGATGGTTTGGAAGTAAACTTAAACATCTATCATCCATCAATGTTTGACAAGGGTGACAAGACTACTCAGTGAGAAATGAATCATCTTTTCAACAAGTAGTTCTAGGACAACAGGATATACTTTTAAACCTAGAATTTTATACCAACTCAAACTCTTAGGAATCCATATATAAGAGTGAAAAAATACATTTTTGTATGTGCAAAGACACTGAAAGTTTGCTTTCTTCAGATTTGTGAAGCAAGAATTACTCAAAGATATATATCTAGAATAAAAATAATCCAAGAGGATGGGGATTTAGCTCAGCTGCTTAAGTGCCTGCCTTGCAAGGTCATGAGTTTGATCCCTAGTACCTATTAAAAGAGGAAGAGAGAGAGAGAGAGAGAGAAATAATCCAAGAATAACAAGTACAACCAAACTATTTAGACAGAACCTATAAGTTTAAAAAAGTACTATCAGATGGAGGTAGGACTGAAACACAAATTCTTATGTGCAAAAGGACAATCTCAGACGTATCAGCAGAATTAACTGTAGGGCAAAAAGGAAGCTGGGAGAAAGGAAAGCAGAAGAATGCTTGGTGTTGCTCAGAATACAAAGTATACAGAAAGTGAAAATTCAGAGAGTAATAGAAAAATATAAATTTAGATATTACATAAAAAATTTAAGAATATAAGATGCTTGCAATCGTGAACTTTTTCAAACATTTAATGAAGATTAGCTGCC